AGTTGTTCTGTGGAAAGCGTGGTCCTGCTGCAGCAAACTGGTTGATCCACTCTGAGAAGGTGCTATTTAAGAGACTGAGATGAAAACAGCACCTCAGACTGAGGAAGTCTCTTGGATGAGAGACGAAACGTTTCTAGATTTTTTTGCTTTGTTTTGTTTTTTGTTTTTTTGAATGTCCAGAGGACCAGATTGAACTTTTTTGGATACAGAAGTAATGTTTAATAAATGTTAAGACTTTATTCTTTGCTAACAATATATTCACCTCCTCAGTTAAGCTGCTGTTGGACGCTTGTCATTCACAGCACGCATGCGACAAAGAGTAAACTCAAAGCGAGAGGGTTACCTGCCCCCTCTTTCACGTTGACAACATTTTTTTGTTTTATCGATGAGTGTGCTCATTGATACTGACTTCCTCATTTTGATTAAAAAATAAAAATAAAACATCAGCACAAATTGTTTTATTATTTTTTTGTTTTGTAGGTCCAAGTGTTTTATATATGATGATGATGATGATTATCCGATCAGTCGTATCCGACTTTCGGTCACTTTATGAATCTTCGAACTCCATGCCTCCCTGTCTTTCACCAATTTTTTCAATTCCGCAATTGGCATATTCATTGTTGTCGTTATTGTGTCGAGCCATCTCGTTCTTTGGCGGCCTTGTCTTCTTTTTCCACTGACTTTTCCAAGCATCATTGACGTTTCCAAAGAATTTGCACGCATCACGTGACCAAAATAAGAGAGCTGCTGTTTGGTAATTTTGCCCAGTAAGGACATTGATGGTTTGACCCGGTCCAAAACTGTCTTGTTTGTCAACATAGCAGTCCAAGGTATTCTTAGCATTCTTCTCCAGCACCACAGTTCGAAAGCTTCGACTTTTCTTTTCTCTACTTTCCTAAGCGTCCAACTTTCGCAGCCATACATCATTATGGGGAAGACAATTGCGTTGACTAGTCTTACTTTAGTTACAAGGTTAATATCCTTGCTCTTCCAGAGCTTATCTAATCCCAGCATTGCAGTCCTGCTAAGTGTAATTCGTCTCTTGATCTCGGGAGCCGAAGCCCCACTGCGGTCCATTTTTGCACCAAGAAAGATAAAATCTTGGACAGACTCGATTACCGTGTTGTTGATTTGCGTGTTCATTATACCATTGCCTGCCGTGGTCATAACTTTTGTTTTTTTCATGTTCAGGTACAGTCCCATTCGTTCACTTTCCTTTTGCACACGTCGAACGAGGCAATCGAGGTCCTTTTCACTCTCTGCGAGCAGGGTTGTATCATCTGCATACCGAAGGTTGTTGATGTTTCTGCCGCCGATTTTGATTCCAATTTCAGATTCTTCCAAATTGCAACGCCTCATGATCACTTCTGCGTACAGATTGAATAGAACTGGTGACAGGATGCAGCCTTGACGAACACCTTTCCTGATTTGAAACCACTCCGTGTTCCCGTATGCCGTCCTAACCGTTGCTTCTTGGTCGTTGTAAAGAGATCTTATTAACTGTACGATGTGTTCTGAGACGCCCATTTGTGTCAGGCACTTCCATAGCTTTTCATGATTAACACAGTCGAAAGCTTTACTGTAGTCAATGAAACACATATAGACGTCCTTTTGATATTCCTGGGTCTTCTCCATGATCCAACGTAAATTTGCGATTTGGTCTCTAGTGCCCCCTTGCGAAAACCAGCTTGAACTTCCGGCAGTTCCTTATCGACAATCGTTGCAATGCGATTCTGTATGATCTTCAGAAGGATTTTACTTGCGTGAGATATGAGGGCGATAGTACGGTGGTTGGAACATTCCTGGGCATCGCCTTTTTTTGGAATAGTGACAAAGACTGATCTTTTCCAGTCCTTGGGCCACGAATTGGTGGACCAGATTTTTTGACATAGGTCTGTTAAAAGCTTAATCGGCACTGCTTTTAGTAGTTCAACAGGTAGATGGTCGATTCCAGAGGCTTTTCCGTCTGGTAGTTGTTTCAAAGCCCACTCGACTTCTTCCTCAAGAATGCATGGTTCTTGTTCGACCTGACATGCCTGTTCCATCGGTCCTATTTGATGGTCTGAGTACAGCTCTTCTGTGTATTCCCGCCATCTACGCTTGATTTGATTTTTGTCATGTAATAATTTTCCATCGTGGTCCTTGATGGCCGCTGCTTTGCGTGCTGCAAACGGTGCCCTGGTCTGTTTCACATAGGTGAAAAGAGCTCGTGTATGACCTAACTTGTTTGCTTCTTCCAGCTTTGCACATTGATTGTTCCAGTAATGTTCTTTGTCTTCTCTGGCTTTCTTTTGAAATATCGCATTTAGCCTTCTGAATTCTGTGCTGTTACCAGTAGCTTTGGCTACTCTGCGCAAGTTGGCGGTTTGGATCAATTCGTCCGATATCCACTGAGTTCTTCTTCCTGGTTTTTTCAAAGGGACTATTTTTTCCGCTGTATTTTGTGTGATGGCTTTGATTTCCTCCCAAAGTTCGTCGGGGTCTTTTCCAGTTGTGCAGAGCACTTCAAAACTTTTCTTGATTTCAACGGCATAAAGTGGAGGGATGTTACCTGTATCAAAGCAACGTGTTGCTGTAGGCTGTCTGGTGTTTTTGATGCGTAGTTTGATTTTAGCAACAAGGAGCTGGTGGTCTGAGCCACAATCTGCTCCAGGAGATGTTTTTACAGCCAATACTGAGCTTTTCCATCGCTGTTGGCACAGGAAATAGTCGATTTGATTACGATACACACCATTTGGAGCTGTCCATGTGTATAGACGCCGCTTTGGTTGTTCGAACCATGTGTTCATGATTGCTAAATGATTTTCTGAACAACATTGAACCAGGCGATCGCCAGCGTCATTCCGCACACCCAGCCCGAATTTGCCAACATATGGACTATCTTCACTGGAACCGACTTTTGCATTAAAATCCCCAGTTATGAAAATGACATCCTTGGTGGGAGTCTGTTCTATTGCTTGTTGGAGATCGAAAAAAAAGTTCTCAATCTCTTCATCCTCCGCGTCGGTTGTGGGGGCATAGACTTGTAAAACTGTGATTGAGCGAGGTTTCCCATTGATACGTATGGCTATGATCCTATCATTTATTGCCTGAAACCTTGAACAGCTTTGGTGACTGCCTTGGCCGTGATAAAAGCTACTCCTTTTCGCTTTATTCTATCATTTCCGGAATAAAAAACAGTGTAATCATCGCTGTTGAAATAGCCATTTCCTTTCCAGTGAAGTTCGCTGATGCCCAGAAGATCGATGTTAAGCCGTTGCATTTCCTTTTTTACAATTTCCAGTTTGCCCGTGTTCATGCCACGGACGTTCCATGTTCCAAAAATGTGGATTCTTGATAAGCGCAGACAGGTCCTTTCTCTTAGAGCTACATCAGCAGATAGGAGTCCTAATGGATTTGTCCTACCCGCGTCATTAGTGCCTGAGCTACTCGAAACACTGCCTTGCTCTTCCCTGGTAGCTGTATGAGTACCTTCTGGCCCAGGGGTCCTGCCATCCGACACTATACGTGAGAGCGTTTCGTCGTGATCCATAGAGTATTTCGGCAAAAAATATTTGGAGTAGTTTGCCATTGCTTTCTCCAACCCTCCCCATTTATCCGGGCTTGGGACCGGCGTGCAGCTGTTTCCAGTTACACGGCTGGTTGATTAAAAAATAAAAATAAAACATCAGCACAAATTGTTTTATTATTTTTTTGTTTTGTAGGTCCAAGTGTTTTATATAACACTGAGTTAAAATGTTGCTGGTCAATTTGAATGTAATATTTATTGATTATATTTAATTTAATTTAATTTCAAAAATGTTTACAGATTAAATAAGGATTTAAGTGTTTTTCTTTTCTTTTCAGGCAAAATGATGCACTTTAAGTTGTTTCTGTTACAGACTTAAAAAAAAAACCAACTATGTTAATAAAGTTATTCTTTGTTGTAAGTTGATCTATATATTTTTTTTCTTTAATGCTAATGACACAATGTTATGCAGATGTGTACTTATAACAATTTTATAGGCAAATTATACTATTTACAGTCGCGGTGGGGAGATGGGGGGCGTGAAATGTTTACTTCTTCCTAGGGGGTCATAAGAGAAAATAATTGAGAAGCACTGGTGTAGACACTAACCATCGGTCGTTAAGCTGATGGTCCTCCATTATCATGTGAACAGCTAATTTTGGCTGTCATCAGCAAACTGGTTGATCCACTATGAGAAGGTGCTGCTTATAAGACTGAGTTTGTTGCAGCTCCTCACAATGACAAAGTCTTTGGATAAAAGACAAAATGTTTCAACAAGAAGAATCCATCCAGAGGACCTGACTTTACTTTGCTAGATTTTTCTACCAGTGTTATTGAGCATCAGGTGTCATGATCAGTGGCCCCCACTGGCCCCCCATCTGCTCACTTCCATGCCCCTTCATGACATGACATGTTTTCTGCTCTTGTCATAGTTTCAGTTCATGTTTATTATTCTCATCTCCTGTCAACCTGCATCTCTGCCTGCGAATCCTAAACCCTGGTTTGTGACATCAGGATGTCTGAGCTTGACTTTCACTAACGAGGATGTTTTCCAAATTTCTAACAACGGAACTAAAGACACTTTGTAGTAGTGTTAAATAGTTTTAATTTGGAGCTAAGACACATAAATCACTCGTGTTGGTAGTTTGTGCTCTAGAGTTTAAGATTTTATATTTTGATTGACTTATTTTTTATTATTGAACTTTTTAATATTAACATTTCTTTGCACAGCCATTTAGGAGATCTTGAGTGTCACTAGTGGAACTGGCACCACAGTTTGAGAATCATAGTCCTGGAACATGGTCTGAGTTTACCCAATGTGCACCACAAAAAAATAATAATAATCAGCATATTTAAATGGCAAGTAGAACTAATTTACATTAATGCTGCAATATGTGTGTGGCCTCTTTCCAACAATTCTTGAGAAGCAGAAAAAGAATGGAAATGTGAACATGTTTCATTGAAGATGGTGCAGTGCTGAATTAAACATTACCTTTGAGGTCCAGGTTGCGGGCACCATTGGAGTGCTGCGTGACGGTGCGTGAGTCGATCTTCAAAGTATGTACGGTGTTGGCATCTCGGGACACCACCACATTGTGCCACTGGTTGTCATTGAGTGGTTTGTCAGAGTTGCCCTTCATTAGCGATGGACCATTACCGAGATCAAAAACGTAATGAACGTACCTGTGAAGATAAAACATATGGTCATTTAAATCATTTCAATTTCTTACATTAAAGCTAGAAAATATATGTTTCATATGAATATATAAAAAGTTAGTGAACAATCATGAACTATTTTTTTCCCTTTCAATTCATATTTTTACTTCAGGAGTGTCCACACAGGATTAGTTCTAGTGAATACAAAATTATGCGGTTTCAATCTGAATGCATGGCTGAAATAAAAATTTTAGGAACCCCAGATCAGTTATTTTTTTTGTTTGTTTGTTTTTTTTAAACTGAAAAAATGTCTTGAAATGAGAAACTTGAAGTTTTTGGTAAAGAAAACTGGGCAGCCCAAATGTAAAATTTTGAAAACGATAATTTCATATCCTCCCCCTAATCAAACTGGGACACAAAGGCTTCATGTTGTGTTTACATTTCACACCTAGAGCGGAAGCTTTAAGTGCATGCTCAGTATCTTGTTTCCTGTTTTGGATTGTGTTTTTGTGGCAGCACTGCAGCGCTACACGCATGCCTAGCATGGTTACTACAGCATATCTGTTTCTGTGGGAATGCAAACATCTCTAAGTTTAGTGTCACATTTACAAGGATACTTAAAGTAATAAAACATAAACAATTAGTTTAAGCAAAATGTGTTTGTCTGGCAAGTTTTTAAATCATAGCCCTTTTTTCATGGACAACTGTGCAGATAAGTTACCGTCTAAAATTCATGTTAAGTACTTTGTACATACAAAAGAGAAGAATAACAGGTTTATATGATATGTAGGACTGAAGTGAGGTGGCCCTGGGGGAAGAGCAGATTACTGATAATCGAGGGGTTGCTGGTTCAAATTCAGCTCTCACAAGTTTGCCAAGACTCCTAGGAAGAAGCAATGCAACTGCATCTTGTTCCTTAAGTAACCACCAATTTTAAACATAATTGATGATTGATAAAACAAGGCATTAATCTTATAATAATCATTACAAGATACACATGAATATGTTGAAACCAGACTTTCACTAAAAGCTCTATTTTGTCCAGAACGGTATGTGGCACAATTCCATGACTTAGACAAGATTGTTTTTGAGTCAGTTTTATTTTGGCAGCTTTATTCAAAGTATGATTGTTTCTGTCTTCATTTCATGTCTAGGTTCAATTGTTTCTGTGTGGCAGAACCGACTCCATCTATTGTGTTGTAACAATACTGACTAGAGGGCACAGAAAGGGATAAGCAAGAAGAAAGACCTATGTTGAAAACAATTACAAACGGCTTTTACGATGGTAACATTTACTAACGTAACTAGTTTGGTCTTGATACAACAAAAGAACCAGCATTTTCCAGTTGTGGAAGGTAAACTGTGCTCACAATAGTAAGCTAATATTAATAAGTGGACAACAAAGTCCATGCTCAATAATCCAGGTATACAATCCAACATTTTTCAGTCATGTCATCTGGACAGTTTCTTTTTTTGTGATGAAACGTTTCACCTTCGATCCGGAAGGCTTCATCAGTCAAGGAAATGCACAACAAAACTGATTCTTCCCCCAACAGCTTACTCCAATTTGGAACAAACCAGTTAATTAGTGAAGCTAATAAATAAAACTGGGGAAATGTCTAAAAAACAGACATTATACACACATTGCTTTCTGTTTATCGGTTGCTTTAGGGGCAGCTGTGGCTGAGTGGTTAGAGCAGTTGTCCTCCAGCGGGGGTTCAATTCCACAAGCAGTCACATGCTCAAGTGTTCCTGGGCAAGACACTGAACTAAGAGTGCCTACAATGTGTGTCCCATTGGTGTATGAATGTGATCTAATGCATTGATTAGTCTCTACAGATTCAGATTAGCTTTGTATATCTAGTAGTGCCATGTGGAGGTAAATGAGGGCGCAGATTGTACTGTAAAGCACTTTGAGGATGTTGACTATATAGAAGAGATACTGTATATAAGTACAGCCTATTTACCATTTATTAGCTATTTGTCAACTAGAGTTGTGACATTCACAAACAACCTAAATGTTTTGAACAGCTCTCTGAAATGAATGATAGCTTCTGAGTCACAACCAGTTGAGATGTTGTCTCCCACCTTAGTTTCACACAGGTGCAGGCACACACTTATTTTTACTATTTTACCTAGATGAAAAAGAATAAGCTAAAGGGAGGAGTGCAGCAGTTGTATTTGGCAACCATGTGTTCAGGAAGGGAGTGGGTTGCATGCTTAACATCATGCCTGGTCATGGAGTACATCACTGTGTATGCACGCTACTGGCTGTACCATGAGATTGTCTCTTTTGAATGGCACTTTCAAAGGAATGAATTCTCAAGATCTGGCCAACTTCAAAGAGCCATAAAACTCATTTATATTGCCAACTACCAACTTTTGTCCAACTGAGGTAAATTACTTTAAAGTCTGGGATTAATTTATCCCATTAAATTAAATACATTGTTAAACTGTTAGAACATAAACAAGATCAAAACCATTTAATTATTGAATTTTATGTATTGTGTCATGGTAAATAGAAGCAGTTGCAGGACCTGGACTATTATTTGTTGCCCTTAATACTATTCCAGACATGGGGGGCCATATGTCTGAAATGTAAACTTTGACTCAAATTACATGATGCAACAGTTGATTATTTTTACATATCGAGGCGCATTTACAAAAAACATGCCTGAACGTCTTTCTGCTGTACCTTCAGCTTTTTACAAAGTTCAGACTTCAGCAAGATTGAAATGCAGTGGTGAAAAATTAGGGCTGAATCCTCTTACTTCAACCACTTAGCCCTCCTACAATTTACACATTCATGCCAGGGGTAGGAGAAAAGGGTTAGGGTTATGTGGTCTTCAAAATGTAAAATTTAAAGGGGTACACTTCAATCTGAGACAAGGGTTTTCCAACTTCATATTCACAAATCAAAATTTCTTTGAGTAAGGTTAAAAGCAAATTATTTTTCATCCAATTTTGATGGTACTGATTAAAAATATTTACTTGTGAACCTAAAACACTAACTTTGATAACAAAGCTTAATGTGGAATGTATCATTGTGCCTCAACAAAATTAAATGGCTTTGTTTTTAAGATAAGAATAACATACTAAAAATAATAAAATAAACTTAAATGGAACAATACACTGTAACTCAGAATGACTGAAATAGAAGTTGAATATGCCCTGAAACAGTTTAAATACAGTAATGTATTATGAAAAATGCACTGTGTGCCATCAATAAGCTGCCTAAACCTGTGCACAAGAGATTTTGTTGTCAGTAACTTGTCATGTGTCAAGCAGCCATGATACACTGTACGCTTTTTACTACATTTATGGCTGAGAATGCACTTACACAAATATGTGATAAGGACAAAATAAACATATATTTATCTGTATGCTTATGTTTGAAAACTCATTTTTTTTTACTTCTGCCTTTCTTTCATTTGTTCATTTGCTTAACTTTATGATGGTGTGACATGACACCTTCTCTGCTGCCATATATACTTTTTATATACTGTATATAATGAGACTTACAGAGGCTGACGTTGCAAACTGCTTTGCCTTTCATGGGTATAAAGGGAGCCGAGGCAGGTATGATGTAGGTGGAGGTGTGCAACAAAATAATGTGCACAAGCTAGAATACAGTTGTGCATGCCATGCACTGAAAAATAAGCCAAAGTTGTCACAAAAAATGTGGTTGTGGAACTTGTCCGTTTCTACATCTCAGGATTCAGTAAAACTGTAATGAAAAAAAAAAATCCAGTTTTATTGCAATTTTTGAGTCGCCAACAAGTCTTTACATTTGTGGCCCATTGAAAGAATGCCTATAACAGGGCTGTTCAGCAAAACAGTTCAGGGGGCCTCAGGTTCTGAAAGCCAGCAGCTCAGGGGCCGGACATCCAGCAATTAAAGTCATTATGTAAATAAACAAAGTATTACAATGATCTGTTAAATTTTAAATTAGTTTGTTTTATTGCATTGAACCAGAAACCAACCACATCCCTCCCCAAAAAATAAAAATAATAATAATTTTTTTAATGAACTCATTGGTGGGCCAGACTGAAGTCCGTGTGCCGCCAGATGAATAGCCCTGACTTGTTCATTCCCTCATTTGACCTGTGTACTTTATTTTCTGTGAGTATACCTAAAGGAGACAGATCATCATCACATAATACGTGGGCTGGGTCCAGATTCCCTTGTTTTTCGGTCCGGATCTGGACCAGAGTCCAGACTTTCAGAATCACTGTTCTACGGGGTTACAAACCCTATTTTATCACAACAATCACAGGGAATTTTAGCTGGATATATTTCAGTGCACTGAACCTCTGGTATCATTGCCATTTTATCTGTTGTAAGATTCTAGTGACACATGAGATTAATTAGTCTCTTTAAGGAGTGTGCCTTTAAACCTCTCACCCTTGTGACTTTGAGTTAAAGACCACTGATTTAGGAAAGATGTTTAAGGTAGGGCAAACATGCTGAGTACTACTAAGAAAGAGAAACAACAATTAGCTCAGGCAATGTTGGACAAAAGAAAATAATGGCAATGACTCTAGAGTGATGTAAAAGACCAATACAGATTGCTTCAAGTTAATACCACTTAATCTACTGGTATACAAGTGGCACAGCAGTGCAGTGGTTAGAGCAGTTGCCTCAAAGCCAGAAGGATGCAAGATCACCTCCCAGCCTTTCTGTGTGGGGTTTGCATATTCTACTTGCACACATGTTGTTTTTCTCTGCATACTCTGAGTGCAAACTCTGAGACCATTAAAGTAAGTAAGCAAGTATGGGTGTAAATGAGAGTTCAGATGGTGGTTTGTCTCATTTCTCTATGTGATGATGTGAGGGACTTATGATCTGTCCATGGTGTACCACTCTTCTTGCATGATGACTGCTGGAGATACTGTAGGCACCAGCTCTCCCCCAATTTATAAAAGAAAGGTGGATAAAAAAAAAAAAAAAAGATAAATGTTTTTTGATGTACTTGATATTTTACAAATATTTTCTCAGTCTGGCTTAGGTTTTATAAAAAAAAATGGAGGGGGCTGGTGTTAAAAAAAATCACGTCTCGTTAATGCATCATCTGCTGTTTACTGACAAGACAAATGCTGAATAAAATTAAGTAAGATAAAATTTCACTCATGTTAGTGGATAGTTATATTTAGCTGGACAAACTCAGATAAAAGATCTGTCAGTCACTTGAATAGAAACAGAAACTCACCCTTTCACCAGTTCCACAACTATGAAGTCACTCCCGTCTCCAGAGTTGAAGAGCATCAGGCCATCAGGCGTGGTGGTTTTGAACTGAAAGAAGAGGTGCATCGAGGCGTAAGCCTGTAACGTGGCTAATGCTAAGTGGCTGCCTTTTGTTCGAAATGTCACTGGATCGGCGATGATGTGACGCATGCCAAAGCGGGCGTTCAGCTCGCAGTAGGAGATGTCTCCGTTCTTGCACTGGTCGAGATACGGCACACTGTTAAAGATCAGGCCCTGTAGATGGCCAATGAAGTTTGAGGGCACCACAGATATGAAGCGGCGCTCTGTCATGATGCCCGTCTCAATGTTGTGGAACTCTAAACGCGTATGGGCACCAGTCATCTGGCCTGGAAACACAAAAAGATACAAAACATTAGCTGTTTCAGGGGTGTCAAACTCTGTTGCAAAAGAGGGACAAAACTGAACAATTGGTTCAACCCAAGGACCAACTTCAATAAATACTCAAGTTAGAAAAGTGATGTTTTTCCATGGTTGCAAGTTCCTAAGCAAGAGTTTGACTGGACTTATTTGACATCGTTTGTTGCCCTTTCCCCTTAAAATGCAAAGGTTACCAAAACATTCAAATTTGAGGGGCTTCAAAGTTGGCCAACTCTCATAAGTCTGCACTAAATAAAGTATGCTCAGTTTTTAAGCAAAATGAGGTGATGAAAATATCTGACATTTAAAACATCATCGTAGGGGCCAGATAAGATATTTACAACAGTCAAATTTGGTCTTCGGGTCTTGAGTTTGACATGTGTCCCAGAACTTGGATTTAATTCATTCATATGAAAGTTAATCACTGTAAAATGTTTTACTTATTAAATCAAATTGTGTGACCTTGTATGAAAACCTCAACTTAATCACAGATAACATACCTGTGAATGGTACAATTGTTTAAACTAAAAGAAATACTGAACATCAAGTATATTGTGTTTACATTTAAGACATTTTACATGGATTATGTTTGCTTTGCAAACCTGCACAGCAAATGACAGTTATGTTTTATTGTTCTGCTGTGAAGTCAACTGTATGAGCACAATGCAGAAACATACTTTAAATGGTGCCACACTCCACTGAATCAATGACTTTTTGAAAGATCTAGTCGTATTTGCTCTGTAAGATTTTGCTTAAAAATATTCTCCATGATAAAGCCTCGTCAGCCTAGGAAGGATCCCTGAGGTTTTATTTTTCCATCCTCATGAACCAGTAGGGACTTCACAGGGTCATTTCTTGCTCCTAGCCTCAGAATGCCCACTCCTTTGTCTAACTCGCATCTTTTTCTCACCTCTTTCTTGTGTTTTCAGCCCTGCCATTCTTTTTCCTGAGGCCACAATACCACGAGTGCATGTGACTCCAGCCTGTCTCTTTGACCTTTTCCTCTCCACTCGTTTCAAAGCTGTTAACTCACAGGATGGTATGTGAATAAAGAAGTATTTTGTGCTACATCTGAATTGCATATATTGAAAGCTTTTTGCTGCTTAGTGTGCTATAGCTGGGATTGCAGCTAGCTTTGTATGTCATTAGATGCTTTTTGAAAATGAGACATTCTATGAGTCAGTGTGGGATGCATGAAAGGTTGTGGCTGCAGAAGGTTATTAACATTTATTCACTGAAGTGTAATTGAACTAATTAATCTAACATTTGCAACATTCTGGCATTTACTTAATATCACTTTTTTGGTTCTAGTATTATTTCTCCCAAGTATCAGTTTATCAGCTATAAAACCAGGGGGTTAGGCTAACAGAGCTAAGCGCTGCCACAATTTTACAACAAAGATAATAAACTTACGGTAAACAAGTGTTTAAAAAGATTGCTTCATATTAGCAATTCAGTTCAATTCAGTGTATTTATATAGCACCAATTCACAACAAAGTTGTCTCAGGGCACTGAACAAGAACATCCACATACATAGAAAAGCCAATTAGTAAAGTTCTCTATCTAAGGAAGCAGCAGACCCATTGAATGGTCACTTCGTCGCAGTCTCTCATCCTGAGCAAGAACAATGACAACAGTGGGAAGAAAAAAACTCAATTTTAAAAGGAAGAAACCTCCAGCAGAACCAGGCTGCTAACAGGACCCCGCTGCTGACAAAGCCACATTGCTGGCAGTACCATGCTGCTAACAGTAACAGTGTTGTTTACAAGACTATTTTATTTTAATTGCTTTTCATTGTTTTGCATTTATGTCTGTAGGCCTATACTCTATAGGCCTATGTTATCTGTCTAAAGTAAAATGACCAGATGTCCCCAATTTCCGGGGACAGTCCACGTTTTGGACGACCTGTCCCCGGCTAAAGCTGTCCCCAAAAATGTCCCCAATTTTAGCGTTTTACGAATGAGAAAAAAATGTTCTGCTGCTGTTAACGTTACAGACTAAGAAGAGCTGAGCGCGCCACCTTTAAAACAGAAGAAGACAACGGCGATGTTAGATTTGTTTTGCGTTAGACATTGGATATTTGTGCGCTAAAGATTCAGCAGTGTCTTCCTCTCTGTTGGAGTCAGCCTCCCCACCATCACAGACATCGACACTTCCAGATGCAGGAAGAGAGCAACCTGCATCGTGAAGGACTCCACTCACCCAGCACACACTTTTTGCCCCGGTCCCCTCAGGAAGGAGGTTGAGGAGCATTAAGTGTAGAACCACTAGACTGAGGAACAGCTTCTACCCTGAGGCTGTTAGACTCATGAATCTCTAACCAGAATAATCACTTTGAAAAATCACATCATGTTGCTGCTGATCTGTGTCATGTTGCTGCTGATCTGTTTCATGTTGCTGCTGATCTGTTTCATGCTGCTGTGTTCATGTGTGCTCATCTGCTTACACAGACTCATGTCCGTGCTGCTATTCAGCGTATTGTTTTTTTTTATTGTTTTTGTGCTATTAGTGCTTAGTGTATATTTAGTTGATGTTTTTCTTAGTTCATATCTTAGATCTTATTACTGTTTTTATTTTACATTTTATTGTTGGATGTAACTGGGACCTTGACTAAATAATCTTGTTCCACCTCATGTACCACATGTGGTGTGATAGACAATAATGAAACTCTGACTCTGACTGTCTCTGACTCTTGTTCAGTCTGATTTTGATCAGCTCCGCTCAGTCTGCGCCTCCTCCGAGTCGCAAAGGTTCACTTAGGGACCGTCAACAAATCACCAAACCAAAAACTCTGAAAAACAAACATGTATATCTTTTACGTCATGTGACCCACTGACATAGAACTAATGTTAACTTAAATTACTCTACTAGACCTGACAGAAAAGACACACTCATTCATTTATGATTTTAATATGTTTTCTATTTTTACATATTTATTTTATTCAAAATTAATTAATTCCATTCAATCTTTATTTATACAGGTTCGTCTTATTGAGTCTCAAGGACTCATTTACAATACAGACCTGTTTAATTGATGGTTTAATTGATTCCTTCTTTATAGTGGAAGGAAGTTTCACTAGCGTGAACCCTCACTCTGCGTTTGATTCCTCTGGAAGGACCCAGATGTGTGACACAAAATACTGATTTTTGAAACTGAAACTAAATTATAAAATTGACTTTTCATAGCAAATTAATTCAATTTCAATCCGTTAAATTCAGTTTCAGTTTAATGAAATTCAGTTTCAAAACAGCAATTCAAATTCAGTTTCTGATGGCATAAGTTTCAGTCCATGTCAAACCACTTGTCGGGCCTTTAATTTTACAATAGTTATTGGATGAAGTGTTTACTTATGTAAGTAAACATGGATGTTTAACAACCTGTTAAAATACACCAGAATGCAGGAAACGGAATCTACTTTTTTCCCAAAACTGTCTGGGGGGATCCCCCAGACCCCCCTCCAGTGTGTCCCCTCCACATTACAAATGTTTCTGACACCATTGCTACTACTACTATATTTATTTTATTATTCTTGGGAAATGTGTGTGGAGAGACACATTCCTGCTGCTACATTTTATTTGTATTGTTTAAACATGAATAAATATGCAAACAATAAATGAAATCGTAATTGTCCCCATTTTTTTATTTCATCTTGTTAACATTTTATTCTTTTTTTTTGTCTCCGAGCTGGAAATTTCCCCAGATTTAATGTCAGGAATCTGGTCACCTTAGGCTAAAACAGGTCTCTCTTGAATATGAGTCCTCATGACTCAGTGCGACTACCTGTATAGATAAAAGTTAAATAAATTAAATAAAATAAAAATAGGCTTATTTTTACAGTAGGCCTATGCTTTCATTTGTTCATGGCCTTAAGTGATTGACAAGTGTTTGGCACCCCCCCCCCCCCTGATTTACTGTTCTTTTGGGCTAATTCTGTTCTGCTCAAAATATTCAAAGTTTAGCCAAAACGCTGTAGAGGATGTGCTGTCTGTTCTCATGTGAGCAGACATGTACAGTAGTATTGAGAAACTTTACAAAGAATACAACAAACAGTTTAATTACACACTTTTACTAAAGTCTTAGGAAGAAAAACTGAAAATGCAGAGGCTAGGCTCACAGACCAAATGATATTCAAATACAACAAAAAAGACACATAGAAAATCGTTTTACTTACTTTAGTAGTGTTCCTGCAAAATAGCAGCACTTTTTATTCTTGCAGACAAATAAAACTGAAAGGTGAGCTAATAGTGACATGTAGCAATGTTTTGAAGTTAAATATCTAATGCAGTCAATTTGAAAGTGATTGTCTATCAAGCAGTTAGTATTAGCCATGTCATCAGTCATAGAGCATGGAATATGATAAATAAGGCAAAAATCTTAGTCCAGGCTAACATCAATAGCCAAGCAAGGGCTTGTTTTTACCATGTTTCAAGCTTATGAAACTAAGTTTTTTATTCTATTTTTTTCAAAACTAACTTACCAGTGTGTAAAAAAAATCATGCATGAGCTAATAGTGTTTCCACATTTTTACATGGCACTTTTTGCTTAGCTTGTCAATGTTTACACGGCCGAACAAGGTTGATGTTACAATGCAAGCAGCCAAAGATACATCTAGCAGCTTTGGCAGCATCAGACAATCCAAGTTCTTGCACATAATCATTTACGTAGTAAAATGTCATGGTTTGGTAAAAAAAAAAAAAAAAAAAAAGCAACAGCAGCAAGCTAAATAAATAATGTCCTGCAAAAGTGTAGAGATTTATCATTAGCTAAAATTACATTATTTTCACACCAGTAAGTTTTATTATTCACATTAACTGTTTGGGTTATAATGAGCCACATACAATGTTCCATTTTTACGCTTATAACATTGATATTTATAGCGCTGCTTCAACGCCTGGCAAAGCACTCTGTCTTCTACAATCAGCCTTAAACATTGTCCAGAGCAATTTAAATAGACTAAAACTTTAAATG